GTGGCAGGGTTTTGTAATGGTGTTCCAATCCAAAACTTTTCGTCTTTCTTCGTTACTCTTGCCTCGGGTTCAGCATCTTTCACCTCTCAAATTCTTATGCTATTTCACATTACCTCCTCTGTTGTTCTACCCTTCTCATTACATACTCATAAAAACGTTCACCCGCACGAGAAACTACACCGCAGTTTCCTCGTTCATCACGGCGAAAGCGCCCGTCGCTCCGCGGCGCCATCCTCTTAGCAACCCCCTTTCCTTATTTACGGTTTCTTTTTCCTTAGCCTTGACTCCAAATACTTTCCTTCAGCTGGTAACACACTTTCTTTCCCAATGCTGAGTTCTCGGTGCTCACCAGCCTGAATTCTGTAAAGTTTGTCAGTCGCGTAGTAGGCCGGACAAACCTCTGCCAATCCAACAGTTGATGATGAATTTTCTCTTCTACTTTGAGCAAGCTCTGCCGTTATGCCCAATTGTACCCGTTTAATACGGTGCTCTCGTCTTGGCTTTCTGATCTAAACCAATCCCTCCTATATCCCTTTTCCCAAGGAATTCGCATGCAAAACGCGGAGATCGGAATAAGGCAAGTGCAAAGGATAAGTGGCCATGCATATGGCCACCGGATACAGAATGTGGAGGGAAAATTAAACAATGATTTTTGAACGGGCACTATACATTGCGAGAGCTATCCAGTTGGAAAGGGTAGACGGCGTGTAAGTCGAGATGAATGAAAAACATACGCAGCCACAAAAGCAGAAGGGACAGAAGTCCGAAGACGCTTTGGATTGTCGTTCCTTTGTTTTCGTTTGTTTGCTTTGTTTTGCTGCGTCTTCACCACGCACTACAAACTTCTGAATAAAGAAGGGAAGTAAGTCTTTTGAGACTGTTGTAATTGTTCGTACACGCTGGCATGCTGTATAGCGTTTGCCCTTGCAGAAAACGTAAATTTCAGAATGAGGGGCTTCTGTCTGTATTCAGTTGTAGCATAATACATTATGCTGCCTTTTACGGGCAGTGTGTTCTTTTTCAGTGTCAGCATCCGAGCGCGATATGTCTTGGCAAAAGTTAGTTCTAAGCTACTTCGAGAGAGCAGATTTACGATATTACGGTTCTAGCAGCTAGAAGAAGCTTTAAGATGAGACACATGAACGGTCCGAACGTTTGTAAAATTGGATTCGAGCCGTTCATTAACCGGTAGACAAGATTCCACGATGAGCCATGACAAATAAACAATATCCACAAAAAGCACTTGCGGGTTGAAAACTTCCATATAAATCCGTTTCCGAGCGTGTTAGTTCCGTCACAGAGAAAAGTAAGAGGTGAAATCAAACAAGAGACGTCCAATTTTTCCAAAATGGCGCCTTCGTCGCACGAAGAAGCTTTTAATAGAGTTTGTTCCTATAATCAATATCTAACTGACATAACAGTTCGTATATTGCACGATTTCTTACGATTAATGCCGTTAAGATAAAATCAACTGTGGAGTGACTTGTAATCAAGGAGTCTAAATGGACCTTGCGAGACGTATCTGCGAACGAGATTTCTTTTAGCCAAATGCGATTGCCGTACATAGCAAAGTTGGTCTATATATTGAGCTGCTTTATCCGTCTCGAGAGTTCGGCAAACGTTCGATTTGAGCGACATGTTTAGGTCGATCGACAAAAAAAAAAGAAACGAAAACATCAAATGCTTGTAAAACTGCTTTATCATTATGGATAAAACTATCGTTACAACGAACTGTTCTACTCACTCTCTTGTTTTATTAAGTAGGACTTAAAACAGGTATCCAGCCTCACATTAACCTCGAACCTCACCTAAGTGTATTTTCATTCTTATCCCAATTCGAGAAATAGCTAGATCAGGTATTGGTTTTATCGTGCACGTCATCCTACGCTGCATTATATCATTTAATGTGTCGAATATTATCAACTGAATATGTACTGTTAACAAAAAAAAAGCGTTCGAGGGCCTACTCACGTGCCTCTGTTCCTTGCGAGCTCTCTTTTTATTGCTGCGCGCGTAACTATACCAATGGATTGGCAACTAAGATGCTACGAAAGAAAACAAACGGTATTTAGCTTTTAAATGTTAGCGTGGGGGTTAACATTTTTAGAGAAGTACAGCCTCGGGTTCACTATTCGCGAACCTTCAATTCAGGTTGGTGACGATGCTCGTTCTATAAGCTAATCAGTCGAATATAAGCAATCAGCGGCCAGATTGACGAACGGGTGTTTTTGCGAATGTAGCAAATGTAATATGTGTTGGGCGTTCCTTTCGGTTTTTGGTAATGTAACTTCGCGTGATTGCGACATTCTACATTTCGTATACTGTATATATATGTGTGTATATATAACATACGAAATATATATACATATAACTTCTTGTGTTGGGGGGCGTCAGAAACTGCAGAAGCCTAATCAATATCAGTTGTGACTTATAATGTGTCCACGTCACAAAACAGTAAAAAGACATTAGGTCGAAGACTAACTTGACGTGAACTTTCTATAGATTTTTACATAAACCGCTATGTAGGTGAGCTCATTGCATACCGCAAAAGCGCCAAAGCTACAAAAGTGACACAGGGAAATTACTTTTCTCACATTCATTCTCAAAGATAGACCATTGATCGACCTGAGAAGTTCGCGGCGTTATCCCAAGGGAACGACACTTGTCCTGTCAGTCTTGAGGGGAAACGAGACTAGAATTACTTAGAAAGTCTCAGCTTTCGTTTAGTAATTGCACAAGTTTGCTAACAGGAAGTAAAGAGGATAACAAACCATTGCGCCGTTAAAGCGTACGATCACTTTATCTCAGCCGACGAGGCGAAAATAAGGCCTCCTTGCTTGACCTCGCCTTCAGCGGTGCAAGCGCTCAGTAAAAAGCCTAAGTATGAGAAAGGGATTTACTGTTCCGAACTCGTATATTTTGCTTGTAATGTTTTAGTCGATTTTAATATAGTGTATACGAACTTTGATAAGCTAGCTACTAAGTTAATATCCGGCTTTGTTTAGAATCAAAATACGGCGCCACGGCAAAATACCGAATCATTTAACATCTGCCAAGTACTTCTTGCAAAAAGTAAGCTCGAAAAATTCTACTGAGCCCACCATAGCACAATAGATATTACGATTATATTTTCATGCGCAAATTTGAAATTATTCGGCATCCATGTGTCAGCATCTTACATGAGTGTGAAGCTGCTGCGTCTGCTATGCCCGCATGAGCATCACGCCAAAGGGTATTTGATTTGGCCTCTACTCAGAACTTGAATTGCTTATTTCGGTCAAAAGAAGTACCCAGTACAGAAAAAAGTTGCGTTCTACTACCCGGTAGGTTGGTGATAAATTATACATGTTTTCGTTGTGCTAATATTAGTGTTATGTTATGCTTTCTTGTCGAATTCGTAAACATAGAATTTTTGGAACACAGCATCATTTTAGAACGCTGATTAATCATGTCTAAGAATGTTCTATCACAAAATTCCATAATTGGCAAACGAGTTCGCAGGATTGTATATGCATACAACTTAGGACCTGTAAGGCCGCACTATTCATACTAACTGCTGTTCTAAATGATGCGTAATCTTTGAAACAAACAAAAAAATAAAGCTCCCGTTCGATAAACTTGCATATCCTCATTCTATTGTACTGTTATTATCGTAGATTGGTGTTATATACATGTATGTTCGATTTTTACTTTCTTATATCAATCCCTTTAGACGGAACGTAGCGATTCTTTGACAGATGTTTAACTTGGTTTGTCCGACGTCCTTTCAGACAGGCGCCTCCTTAATATTCATCATATGTGCAATGCTATACATATATGATTAGAACTAATTTTCACTGCGTAGACAATCGTCGTAAATGTTATCTACGCTCTGCTGACCTTCACCCGTAATTTAGCATAGAAAATTACGGCCCGTTTTATTAGGCACAATACTATTACGGCGTTATCTAGTGGACACGCGTGATTGGCCTTATCGGTTCTTTAAATAGCTACGTTATGTTAAATTTAGCTTTCCACTAATGACCTAAATCTATAAGGAAATCTCAGCAATCAGAAAAAAACTCCTATTTCAATCGCAATCATTGAAAATAATTATAAAAACACATTACCAATTTTATGCAACAGATTAATAATAGGCATAGTCAATCGTCAGGCTCTGGATAAATAACAAAGTGCTGACTAATATGATTGAGTATGTAGGCCTCTTCTTTATCTAGTTACACTTGCGAGAAAACTACTCACTTATCACTATTACTACTATTTGATAAAAGTGTTCTCTGTTAATAGATAATGGTATTACTTTGCAAGTAGGGAAGTGGCCGGTGTTTGAAAAAGGACATAATGAGAAGCTTCAGTATTAAAAAATTCAAATTTGTTCCACACTTCGGTTGGCGCCCGAAAAGAAGCTCAACACAATCACAGATACTTGCGCTTACTTGCGTAACATTAGGCTGACAAAACGGTGTCGATGATTTTATACAAGCAGCTATTAGAAACATACAAAGATGCGATTTCGTAATTTTTTACCAATGGTTTACGCCTTTTCTTTTATATAACTTCTAAACTTTATTTAAATGTATACGTTACCGATTTTAAAATTATAACGTCACGTCTGCAATATTCTAGCAAAGTTCTGCTGGATCTAAAATCAAATTAGCCTTGTTTGGTCCAATAACGCTGTTTGCGAAGTTCTGAACATTGCTTGAGCGCAGATGTTCGAGGCAGGTTCCTAAGATAGTATTTCCACATATCATACACCCATATGCCAATAACTTAAATTAACTTTTCATTGTTCGGTATTACCCGATAGTTCAATCGAATGTTGTTGTCATATTCTAAACATGTGAGCTCTTTATATATGGTGATTTTGTGATGAGATGCGTGACTGCGTCAAAATGTCTATAGGAAACAAGCCATTAAACGCTTACATACATAAAGGATAACAGGCGTGTAGAATAAAAATTATCTTTATCTTTATTCTTTATAGAAGACCACTGAATTACAATATTTTGAAATCACTGGTACATATTTATCATCCTCGGATCCATCAACTAGGGTCAGTGTCGCACGTCTCTCCGGTCTTCCCATCTTCTCGAACGGCCTCCACTTCACTCATCGTCGTCGTCATGATCAGCATCACCACCACCACCAACTGTATTGTCTTTCATTTTATTGAGCGAGGTTCATTATTATATATTTTCACATATAACCTTTTCGTTTTTCCCTCAGTTTACCATTTCTGTACTACGCTACCCCCGCCGATAGCCATCAGCCTTTAGTCTTATCTCCTGTATGTGGTGTATATACGGCACAAGAGGATACTCCGTTCGAGATACCTTTAAGGTGACGGTCTGCTCGCTGTTGGCGGTTCTCCTTTTATTAGTACTTTTATTATCATGATTATTTTCATCCCTTTTTCTCCGCTATAATGCAGCCTGCTATCTTACCCATCCTGTCAAATATCCATATATACACCTATGTACAATACACAGTGAATGATCCATTTTGTCTGCATTCTCGCTTGCCGCTGGGCAATGAAAACTTCAGATGCAACTCTTGCTTGTTGACTAAGTAAAATCGTTTTTGAATCTTAAGCCAGTTGGCTGAGTACGGCGTATCCGAATTTTGGGTATCTGAATCGAAATTGAACCGTTGCCTGTCATCTTCTGCATTTTTATTATTACATATTATTGTATGAATATGTTCCGCGATGCGTGCATGTACGCATGCTTTAGTGTCTTCATCACAAGAACACTCTTTCAATCTCGCGCTATCACTCGACTCGCTTTCTTTCTTGCTCCTATAGTTTAACATACAGCTATCTTGCCCATTCACTGCACTCGCGCATGGCCCTTGCCCTGGGCCTCATCTGGGCCTCCATTCAGCGGCGTAAAAGATAGGCAAACATTCATGTTACGTTGGTAGTTGGACTAAGTGCAGAATGGTAAAGTTGCAATGAACAGGTAAGATATTTGTTGTCGTTTTGCCTTATGTTCACATAGAAAATAAAACAAAACTCCCGCCGGGTCCTCACTACTTATATTCTGTTCTGTTTTTTCGTTTGTGTGTACCAACTTTTCTGGTTTCTGCTTCATACTTCGTTTTTGTATGCTAGACAAGTTGAGGTTTTGGGTTTAATGGGACCGGCTGGGATAGGTAAACGAGTATTTGTATCTATAGATTTGTAACGCCCGCATGTATGTATTCGTCTCCAAATATCGCTCGGCGTAGGTCTGCGTGCCGTACACATGCGTAAAAAGTGGGAGCGATGCCATATTGCGAGAGCATTTCCTTTGTTGTTGTTGCTGCTGTTGCTGCTGCTGCTGCTGCTGCTGTTTTTCCCAATGCCGCTTCTGTTTATTTCTTGAAAACCCCATTTAAACCCTAGGTTCCCTATTTGGCACACAGAAACCTTCTTTCGCCAACCGACCGTCGGCCGGTTGCTAGCCGTGTGTTCCGTTTGAGTTTATCGGTCGAGTTTTTTCTGGACTCTCCCTTCAGCCCCCTTCGCCATCCCCATTTTCCAAACTATCTCTGTCTCTCGCCTTTTTCTTCTCGAACCTTTTGCACAGATAGATTTTTTGCTTGCTGCATGTTCGTATTTTAGTCCATTGGCTTTTCCATCTTCTGCGTCTTCGCTACGGACGGCGTCGTCAAAGTGGTAGTCGACGACGACCAAGGACATAGCCATCGTTGTCTCTGCGATGTTTTTTTCCATGTTCCATTTTCCATATAGCAGCAGCTAGCTTGTGAGCGAGCGAGCGAGCGAGCGAGCGAGCGAGCTGGCAAGCGCGTTTCACAACCCAGTGCGTTCGTCAGCTGTGAACGCAACGGGGCGGTAAACGGAGGGGTTAGAAGAAATCCAGAAAAAGGGGGTCGGCACACGCCGCCGTAGACTCGATTTGTACGACGATTTTCATCGTATTGTACCTGTGTGTATTGCACACGTTCATGTCTGTTTTTCCCATGGTAAAACCTTTGGGCCGTACGTCTATATATACTAGGTTTCCTGACAGTACTACACTCTTTTTTCTTGGTATTATAACATCACTAGCTTCTCCAACAGCTTCACCATCGGTGTATTCTTACTCCCAAGTGTTTGACTTTTTTACGTCGCGCTTAAAAGGCTTCCTAGTAGCTTCAACAAAAGATTCGTTTTTCTGTTCACAAATGCTATGGATGGCTGTTGTGTTTCTGTTTCTATTTTCATTGTTTTGGGTAACAGGAAAATTGTAGATACGAACGTACGGTAGAGTTTCTGCATTGCAACAACGGCATTACAACATTAGCTTTTTATATATATATATATATATACACATATATGTACATATACATATATATATATATTTATTTAGTATGTGTGTACTAGATGTATTATATAGTGTTTACCTTTAATTTCTCATTGTTTTACGGTATTAGTAGTTGTATGTTATAGTACTTCAAACGGGTATCACCTTTCGATTAACTGTGATTAAAGTGGAAAGAGCCAAAACGTTGTTTTCGTATTCCACCCGTGCACGCCACATGCGACGTAAATTTCCGCGTTTTGTTAGCTATAGTATTACATCATTGACATTATTCGGCAACAACGTTATAAAGTAGAAAAAACAATAACGCAAGAGGGAGAAGGTAAAAGATAATACATAGCGTGTTTTGAGGTATGCAATTGTATTGCCGCTGTTGCTTGTGCGAACGTTTGTTATGCCTTTATTTAAAAGACTGTTGTGTGGGCTTATGTACGTGCGTGTCTGCTGGCTAAACATCTTTTTTACAAACACGGGGATCGTATACTACGTACAACGTAGAGCTCGTCGTCGGGATGGCCCTGTGTCGCATGTGATGCTGGATGATTTCCATACAAGGGCGGCGGGTCGTACAAAACGAACGGTCCACGTGAGCTGCCTGTATGACCGTACATGCCGGGTACAGCTGGGGGCGCATATATCGCCTGCACGGGATGAACGCGAGACATGGAGCTGCACGTGCTATTGAGCACGAAGTTATCGCCCGGCTGAAGTGATGTGTGCGATTGATGCGGTAACAGATCAAGTGTTTGCAATTCTGGCGTCTGTTGCACCAGGTCCAGGCCTGAGCTTGCGCCCTGCTGGCCCGGAGTTAGCCAAGGTCAGCTGTTCGGTGGTTCGAGCTGAACGTCATTGGGGATGTCTCGCGTTTTGCGGTCCTTTCCGCGCCGACAATATAACAGCGTTCCGGCGGATGTAATAACAAGTGTTGCGAGTAAGGCGCCACATGCAATAGCTAGGTATATGATCGGAAATTGGTGACAATGTTCGGGTCGTTCGTCGTGACCCGAGGGACAATGCACTGTGCCGTCGCACCATAACTCGGGCGAAATGCATGCACTTAACTCGGGACACTCATACAGACAGTTAACATTACGTAATGTAAGGCCGGATGACGTACGTAAGAATGGCTTGGTGACTTCGAGCCAACGCACTTTGAATGCACCTGCCTTCACAGCGATAGCTTCAACGAGAACGCGATCAACGTTGCGTCTAGTCGGTAGACCTCGAGGTTGTCGCTCCGATTCATTGTACCAACTCAATGAGAAGAGGTCAAATTGAGGTTCGGACTGCGGTGGATCTTTGGGCGCGTGGAACGCATCCGTCGTTAGAGATTTTGCGTCTCCATTAGCAAGATTGCTGTCCCCGTCTGTACAAACGACGGCCACCGGATCAGAGATACCATCTGCGTAAACTACAAATTTATTCGTTCCCGGGTTGCACGAAGCCGCACGAGAGCCATCATGGCCCTGGAACTTTAGATAAAGATATTTTTTAGGACTGGATTCAATGTACCAGCGGCACCGCAATGGAGTATCTTGAGAACTGATATCCTTTGCTACAAATGTTAATTCACCTTCAGAACCGTTCCTTCTGGCTGTTCCGCCTTCACAGCTGGTAGCTGGACGGAACTCGTACGTCGCCTCGAATCCAAAATAATTAAAATCTTCGAGAGCTGACATACCTTGTACTGTAAAGGATAGGGTGACATTGTTTCCTACAGACTCAATGAGGATCGGCTTACGAAGCTGTGAAGTGGTATTACAGAAGCATCCCATTGGAGTGAATGTCTCACCCCAATGATCAGTCACTTGAACAGCGGAGATTTTAGCTGCATTCGTTCGTGATGTAACCATCCTACACGTATATCTCTGGGTAGCTTCATCGTAGAAATGTGCGCACTGCGTTGTTGGTAAGTTCAGATTAATCAAATAGATACGCAACTTTTCACTAGCCATACCAGAAAAATAGTAGGAGCAAGTGATGTTCTCGCTGCCACCGCGACCATACATGAATACATTTTTTGGAGAGGCGAAATGGCCGAATTTTGATGTACTGCTTTGAAAATGCCGGTGACAGGGTCCGTGATGCGGACCCATGTCGATGCCCGCCTGTTCCGTGTCGACAAACTCGTACCGGGCCATAAATGAACTACGCCGTAGCGGAACGTCGGACGACTTGAAAAATTTTTGCCGAATGACAAGGTCGGACCCTGTGGATAGATAGCTGTCATCCGGCAGGCGGCATGGCCTTAACGGAATGAACTGTGGATACTCGGCCGCACGGGCACAGATCCTTGGCGAAGACTTCTCGCAGAACCGCCTTGTCGAGTGGTCTATGGAGGAGTTGGCGTCCTGGAACAGTTCCTGCGCGCCCAAGTCGACAATTTCAAGTGAAGCCACATCACATTTCTCAGCATTAGACCAACGCTGCTTGTCCTCAACGAAATAGGATAGGAAATAAATCCAGACCCGGTCGTGGACTCCGCGTCCTTTGAAGTGGAACGAGCAGGTGGTATTAGGCGGAATGGTGTGGTTTGGGGTATAGATAAGTCCACGGCGTTCCGCGCGACTGCCGTCAATCTCAAAGGTGCACTTTCCTCCGGGTTCGACCCGAAAATCATCCGCTTTGACGAAACGAACCTCGACGTCCAGTTCAAGTTTAGACGCGTAGAGCTGCTGCGCTCCAACTGAATGCAGTTCGACTCTACTCTCAGGCCCGGACGATACCACTTCAGTGAGCGAACCCGATCCGCAGAAGCGTGAGAGGACACTCGCCTGTGAGTTGCCTCCGTCGTAGATGCGAACTACATCGCCCAAACAATCCGACGTGAGTGCGCGTTGCGAACTAGCGCCACCAGGTGCCGTGCGACCCGTGTATATCGATATTTTGTATTCATTCTTCTGAGACAGAACGATCTGCGCCTGAGTGCCCTGCGGCGAAGTCAGCTGGCGAATTGTGAAGCGGCACGTGAAGTTACGTAGATAAAAACCTGGAAAGTTTGGCGAGCGAATCTTGCACTTCTTTCGATCGCAATTCTCAAAAATTCGATCACAAAAGGATTCTGGCGCACGCACTCCAAGATCAATGGGATCTTTGCTGTCTCCGTAACGAGTGCGCGATGGTTTGCTCGGATGGAAACGATATGTAAGGTATAGGTTAAAGCTATACGAATGTAGCGATGCCCGATTTGGTATCACCACCTGTAGTGTGACGTTATTCCGTTCTGAGAAGAAAATAACCGGCCCGCCTGTATTGATGAGGTCCCCACAAAAACGGCCGAACTCTGGCTGATCCAATTCGCTACTGTCGTAGAACGAGGATAGGGGTGCTGCGACCGGCTGACGTCCTGTAGCTGCAGATAGGAACTGGGTAAAACCTCTAGTCTGTGAGGTGCGAACAATAGGCGACGAAGCCGTAGGTTCGGTAAGCGCCAAATGGCCGTTGTAGCATGATGCTGTCTGATTTCTGGAAAGGAAACCAATCAAATCAAAATACACACTTATCAGTATGCGCCACTAATTGCCTTATAGTTTTTATCTCGTTTTCTATAATAGGGTTCTATAATAATAAATTCATAAATGCTAAAATTGGCCACAACCATAAATAAAACGAAACAGTTTCTTCGGAAATGTTGCAAGCGCTATACTACGTCACGCATTTTACGTCTGTGCCGACACTTTCGGTAATTACTAGCGTAGAACACGTATAGAGAAATTATGACCATTGTGACCTAAAGACGTTGTCTGACACCTGACAATGGAACTTTTCCCTTTCTGGTATGATTGTGGAAAGTGGCTGTCAGCAAAACAAGGTCGATGATGCGATGTTGGAAAACCAGCTATCCCAATTACACCTATCTCAGCTGACCTTAGCAAGATAGGTAGCGTACGGTTGTGTACGCGTGATTTAGGCTAGCTTATACTCACTGAACATCGATAATATATTCAGCAACGAAAGGGGCATAGCTCATTGCCATCAAGGGCTGATGCATAAGTACTGACTGGCAGCAACGCTCCTTTTACAGCTTGTGAAAGAAAAGGGCCAAAGAAAAAAACCCGACCCTCACCGAAACCGGAACGCCGCAACAGGAACAGTCAAAAAGAAGGGTTCCTCAGAAAGCGATCGCACTTGGCTATAAACAACGACAAATATGAAGACAGCAAACACATCCCCATTGTTCCAAAGGCTAATACAGAGTGAAAACATCGGGGCTAAACTCAATGTCTAGTCCATGTTCAACGTCACAACAAACAATTAACATGACGGCGATAAACAATATCTCGCAGGCTCTATTACCTCTATGCTGAAAAAACATAAAAAACTTTAAGACGCTAGCAATGGAAGAAAGGCCATACCTGTCTTTCATTCAATCCCTACAAACGAACTAGTCGCACCATCTTACCACTAAAACAGTATTAAAATGCGCGTGTAAATATCCTATAGGGTTTAAGGTAAAATGAAATAATAAACATATATCAAACATCATATGCATGTTAACAACACAAATCACTAATGTCTAGTTACCCCAGTGAATGCACTATCGCAGAAGTTGGAGATAATTTGTTCTAACTCTCTCTCTCTCTCTCTCTCTCTCTCTCTCTCTATATATATATATATATATATATATATATATATGGCAGTAGCAGTCTGATCGGCCATTGGCGACAGTATTGCATAACATAGTAGTGGTATAACGCCTTAGCTTACTTTTTTATTGCCATTTCTTTCTGCCAGCGTCATTCTCATGATTGGCAAGATCAATATGGTTGCGGTCAGCCGGTGCCAAACTTGACGATGTTAATGGGATTGGCTGTCTCATGCACACAATCTTGAAGAAACGAGGCCGTAAGGCAAAAAGCGAAGGACAAAAAGGTAAAAAAGGAGAAAAATAGAATCGTTTGTTTACAAGCACCCCTAACCGGAGAATCTATCCTGCCCATGCAGCATAATTCGACGTTCGTTTTTCCTCAGTCCTTGCAAGCGGTTGCTCCAGCAGACGTTCTCGATCGTCGATTCTTCGTTTTGTGCCATATAGCGACAACGATAGTGTCAGCGAGAAGTGGTGGCAGGATGGGCTCTAAACGACGCACTTTCCTTAACGACCCGTTACTTGCGGGGAAATTTGCATCGGGCACCGAGCGAAGAGAATCGACCCCGGTGAAGCCAGTTATTCGTCCATAAATACAGAGAGTTTAGACGAAGCGATTGTTATAGCTACTGCCGTTGCGAAAATTCAAAGTCTTTTTTCGCGAGGTCTTGTTTTGGAACTGAAGTATTCAGTCAGATCTGAAAACATATTTTGGGCTAAGAACCTCATCATTAGCGGCTAAACAAACAAGCTCATTAAGGGACAAAAAAGCATGACGCGGATAAGTCTTTTTTGAACCGCCGCCTGATCTCTGATTATAGTCGAAAACGGCATTTGTTTCTGATCATCCGGGACAATGGCGGGCTTTTCTTGATGGGAAAGAGATTGAATATTATTGCTATTTAAACGGTATGTTTTCTGCTGCAGATCTACTACACGACTTAAATTAAAGAAAAAAAAAGTTGTTTGAAAGCTTGTAATGAAATGGGCTTTGGTTTTCTTTGACAGAGAAGGGCAGAGAATACTGCGTGTTTTTTCTATTATTTGCAATTATATCGGTCACAGAAGCTCATGTAATTTATAATAAAATATCGTTGTGGCTTTCTATATTACCATTGTACACGCTCGGTTTGAAACCCCCACTATTCACCATTAGCAATCGTGTGAACATCTTTTTTAGATGTGTAAATGGCATATAAGCAGTCAAATCCGTAGCTTCCCTTACCGGTTTCTAGATGTTTCAGCCGAAAAAAAAAGACGCATAACATAACGAGATGCTTCGCTGTATTGATATCAGAGGGTCAATTAGGTAGCTAAATAATAGAACAACCGGAAATCAGAAGTAATCTATTAGAGATGGACAAGAATCATGTATCGAACACAAGCCCAGGGGCTTTACAATGTTGCGACTCGCCTATCTTAACTGTAAAGAAACGTATACTGCTGACATGCGTGCTAGATCTAGTTGGCATTGCGGCTGCTATTGAAAGGAACAGAAGTGGACTGTAAAGGAATCTGTCGCTGTGGCTAGAGCTGGCATAGCCCTGGGCGTTCTTTCGTCTAACGGGGGCTCCCGACTAGAGGTGGAAACTTAGCAGGTGGAACACGTATGATGTTCATTTTTCGCAAGAAAATTTCGGTCACGTCGTGCGTACTGCCAATCTTCATTCTCTGCGCCATTGTCATCCTACAAAGAAGGCAGGCTTCGAAGTCAGCTCAGGGTCTAAATCCAGATGTGGGATCGTAGTCGATATTTTATCGAAGTATCATGATTAGCACCTGCGATCAGCAATAAAAGAAACCGAACATAGGCAGTTCGAGGAAATTGAGGGACGGGCATCACCAGCCCGAGCAAATCACAGAAAATCTGATAACAAGGAGCAGAGAGATTTGAGGAGAGTCGAGCCGATATGAGCCGGTGTGGGCATTTACGGGGGTCACCGGCCGTTCCTATAGACACAGCTAACAATATTCACTATGCTGGACGAGCGTCGTTGATATCTCGGAGTACCGTATATCGGTATACTATACTATACGTCTCTACACCGACCAATGTAGAGGCGCATACAACAACACAATCGTATTCAACTCCTGAACGAAGAAAGCATTTTTATTAAAATAGAAATAAACTAAATATACACTATCCATACTGCCTCGGCGAAACGGGGATCTGTAGTTTACTTATTGAACACGCACATCCATCGTAGCTAAGCGTAAATAAAGTATGTTACGAAACAACGCGTTGCATAACTAGAGCGCTGTAACGTGTTTAAAATCCGAAATAAATTAGGAAAAGTAGAAATTGCAGAAGGAATAAGTCTATGGGAATTTACAAAACAGACCCAAAGCTTAGGCTCGCCCTACACCGCAGGCCGTTTCGGGGCTTAAAGCCGAAAGTTCGGTGCGGTTTACCCGTGCTCGGTGATCACCAACATCGTTTACGCGCGTCACACCAAACCACCCTAAAAGTGCACGCCATCTAGCGCAGAACACGCACCTTGTGAAGAGAAGGGATAGCAACGTGCGATTGCCCCTCTAATGCCGCTGTGGTCGCTAACCCTGTATCGGTCTGCGTGCCGTCAACGGAGCTTCGCCCGAAGCTTGCCTTTCTAACTGAAACATCTGATTTTCCCTGCCACACAAAGCAAGCGGAGCTCCGGACCTCTCCGCGGAGTACACGCGGTTGGTCCAGCTCCTATCTTCGTCGTATTGCAGCGGTACTACTGGAAGTAGAGGTAGAAGCCGATATACCAGCCAAAATAATGTTCACCGACGGCCAGTCTACCGCAGCCATCGTAGTCCCGTCAGTGCTGCCCGTTGGTGCTGACGAAGTGTCAATCGGGTAAATTGATTGCAATCATCAGAATAAGCAGTAGCGCATAATCCGCAAAATTAGTCGTGCGTTAATAATACAAGCGGATCAGTGTCACGGCGGACCCCGAAGCGGCGAAGCGTACCACAGGAACCACTCTCAATGAAGGAGAGTACCCTTGCAAGGCGAACTTGGGCTTGGGCCTGTTCTCACGTAGTAATACCAACGGACGCAGATAGTGGTAGACCGAAAATAGCTAGTCAGGGGCGAATACGTCCCTGACAGCGGCCTGTCTCCTTTTGGCTTGCAATGATGACTGCGTATGTCAGTTTGCCTCGGTTCGTATTGGTGCGGCCTTCCACGTTGCACTTTGCGTGGCCGTAAAGTCACATGGGCTCCCTACCGTTGCCTTTTTCGACCCATTCGCTCTTGTGTTTAATACCCTAGCCACTAGACGCCAGCGAATCTGAGGCGAACGAAAAGAAAAAAATGGCTACTCTTGGAGAAACGCGATTAGCGAAGGAACACGAAACGCGGATGCTGCTGGCCTCGTATCCTAAGACAAGAAAAGAGTAGTGCGATGAGAGCAATATCGGAGGCCCTTATGGAAGAGGCCTTGCCGCGACAAGCGCCCTAACTACTCCATTGGCAACTGAACCCCAGAAGCATTAGAAGAATCGGTTCTTTGCAGAAAAGACCGGCAGGGAAACAACCGCGCTCTGTTCCCATTAGGCAATTGCCTAACACCAGCATTCACTTCGTTTCCGGGGATATACGTTCTGTATATAGATATATATTCCCGGAGTAGTGCTACGCCTGTAGTTTCAGTAGAAGTCAACCGAGAAAGGCTTTAACTGCGCGAACAAGGAAGCAGAAGTGACGGAAAAAAAAACTAACAAAGCGACTATTATCAAGCAGACAAACAAACTTTTTTTTAGGCGTTACATTGTTTTTTTGATACGTGTGGATAGGGCTCTTCGGCAACGCGTAAGGATCGTAATTTTTTTGTAGCTACCTATGCCTACAAAGACACCTACATAGACCTGTAGCACTTTCAATGCAAGGAAAAGCTCTAGATTTTTCCTATAAATGTAGGTAACTACAGTGCAAGCTGACAACTGAGCAGCAGAGTAATGCGTATCGCATGCTGTCTTCCTCACCTGTCACTCTCAAGGGTTCCTACTTGGAAGTTGAGGAAGGTGAGCTCAACGATATCGCCAAACTCAGCTCCCGCTGCCACAAAATGCATAGTGCAGACAAACGGAAGATTGCGCTGGAATGGTTCTGCGATTCGTATTGGGTTTTTGGTGCCCACCTCGCCGAAAAACGTCCGATTGCAGTCTGAAAGTTGCATAGCAATAAACATGTAGTATGTTAATTGGTGACCGTTTATTACGAACACTACTGTATAAACAGCCACATTCTATTCGCACGATTCGAGTTCGTGTAGGACATTGTAAAATGCGAGTTATAATAGGGAGATAAAATAGCCAAAAAAGCTGCGGCCGTAGCCGTTGGATAGCGGGCTACAGCGGCAGTGGCGATGAGCTTAGCTGGTTAAGGGTTGGTCAAGAGAGGTAAAGGGCCATTGCTGAAACGGCCACCGAGGGAATTCTTATGACGGTCATGGGAGTCCTTACGATGGCCGAGAATTATGCCAGCGGTGGTTTGCTATGCTGCACTATTTCGCCTTACAGAGCGGACACTCCATCAGCACACTGCGCCTGTGTGCCTAGGCCACACATCTTTATGATAGACAAGCGTAATAGACCTAAGCAGCAATAGTAGTCGTATGATAGCTGAAGTACTACTGGTAGTCTTTTTCTATACAAGCACAATGATGCGGAAAAGAGAGCGTTGGAATGCCGTGTTTTAGCGCCATAGCTAATATTTTTCCACATCAGTTCAGTTTTGGATAGATAGTTAAAGAAAATGCAGAAAATACTAGGTATGCTAAATATACAGAAAGACACAAGAGACAGATAGATCGATACTGACTTGTACAACCCATGGGTTCGTCCGAGGTGTCGCCGCAGTCATCAGTTCCATCACAGAATTTATTGAGCGCAATACAGCGGCTGTTGTCGCACTGGAACTCCGATAGCTTGCAGGCTAAAACTGATGGTGGTCCTTCTACTAGTGCGAAACTATTTTTAGCGCTGGCGCATGCCACTATGAGCAGCATATATGCCAACGCCCAGTCCATCGCGGGCCGTCTACAGATGCCCCTGCAGATGCACAAAGCGTCGCGCCAAACTGCCCATTGCACCACTCACACCCTGTAATAATAACAACAGTATGGATGTCAAGATGCAAATACAAGGAATATACAAACGTCACTTTAGTATGTTTGATATAAGAAAGAGAAACATATACTATCTAGTAATTATTGAAGCATAATTTTAAGATAATATAAAGAGGACTTCGACGTTGTATGAAGTACACTTGGAAGGTTGAACTCCTTAGGAGTTGATTATTAAGGTGTCTCGTCACCCGTGGCCCTTATTTTTTTAGCTCAAGCCAAGTTTTATAAATGGCTGTTTGTCTCGAAGCATATTTCTAAAATCAGTATAAAAAATTTTCATCTAATGTACTGAAATCGTTTCTAGTGTTTGACTATTACCTGACGCCGTTTTTTAACTGATTTTTGGGAATCTGAGTTATCTTGTCGGTCATCCCTGTTCAGCGCACGGGATCTATCTATTATCCAAGTGCAAAATTGATGGCAATGTCAGCACTCGCCAGTTAGCCCTGATGCGTACTAGTGTGCCTGAACATGCCGAGGTCATTTAATATTGAACCGCCATCCATAATGCTACTTGGGTATGAAAGACTCATCAAAGGCAAATGACAAAAGTCAAACCGCTCAGCTTATGCACGACAGGACAAACCATTTCGTTCAGGCACCCAGAGAAAGAAGATGAACGCAAGATGAACCTATGCCTCTGCTTCATGTATTCTTCGTTATTCGTAACTTCCTTTATCATTTTTCTTGGCTAGTCTATTGGGCAGGGTACGTGTTCTGGAGAAGCAAAGCGACCTTGCTATCTAGTCGACGTTCGCTCTCGTACACTACTGATACCCTTCCTCTCCGCCCTTTCTCTAGCACTACTTAGTTGACTTGACCACTCTGCACAGTCCTATGCGTGACGTACTGCGTGGGCTGTGAATTGTACAGCGTGTTTTCTCGTTGTTTTGATTGATCTTCTACGTTTTCCTGATAAACGGTTCAAAGCCTTGGACTGATGATAAGGAAAGCACGAGATGGACATGAAGTAGCTAAGTTCCTTCTGCCTGCCTGCCTGCCTACCTACCTACCTAGATACTTTCTTTCAAGCTGGTTGCTGTTTCCCCTACCAGCTGTTAGTCGTCGACGTTTTTCCATCAACAACAGACACACATATACAACAAAGGCGAAGATGAGGAACAAAACGTAGACAACAACCATGATGCTGCTGGTACTGCTACCATCTTATGTATGGGCAAATATGTATGTTCCCCTATGTGATGTATATCGAAGCTTTATATACAATGCAGCAGTGTGGGCTGCTAAAATATGGCAATGGGTCGAATCGAGTCGTGTATGCGTGTGCCGTATTGGCATCGTTGCAACGAGAGTGGCTCGCTTCGTCTGTCGGTTCCCGGATGGTCCAAATGTTCGAACCAATAGTAGCCATGTGCAAGCCTGAATATAAGTAACACCTCTCTGTTGCAGAGGGACAAAACGGTGTCTTTTATACCCTCCTCTTCCTCGTAGGCAAAAGAAAGGAAGAAAATAGGCAAAAGAGGTGGCCAATGTAGCAGTGGCAGTGGTGGCGGCAACAGCAGCAGAATCCCCAAACACTGGCATAGTTTCGTCGTTGTCGTTGTTGCTGTCAGCATCGTCATGGACGGGTCGATCGCAGGCTAACACGTACGTAGCGTTCTCATTGCTATCGGTTATAGCGGCCGTCGACTCTACGGGAAACTAGGCGTTGCACGCCGTTGTCAAGGAGCAGAACATACAGGGAACCAGGAATGCCTGATTCAATATGTCAGTCGACAAGCCGAATCTTTGCTTTCCGATGAATGACCCCAACTTCTGCCTCTTCTTCTTGGTGCAGTTCGTCTCCTCTCCGGCCAATGCTACGTAACTCAGGCTGACTCATATTGGAACAGACTATGACGTACGATATGCAGTTGCTGGCCTCCGTTCGGTTATGATCCGGTACGCGATGGCGGCCGACGACCGGGTGCTTGGCTGGACCTTATATCAACACGCGGGAAGGACGAAGCAGCAGATCGACCGCCGTTCCTGTACGTTAAATACAAGGAGCAGCACAGCGTGTTGCGAAACAGCTACCCGTGCCCTTCATCATTGAGTATACATACTAGCAGTGGTAGCAGCAGCAGCGGCAGTCGTACAAGCCAACAACGAACCTACGTATATCGTCTGCCGTTTAGCTGGCGATCAGTTGATCCGTGCGCTGCATCTGGCCTTTGTGGCTGAGGCCTCGACCAAACCCAAATCAGTCAGGGATAGTGTAGCGTGCAGCAGCCAGCTTCGATGGAGTACGATGAAACCTGCAACAATATGATCGCCTCAACGGACGGGCATCGGTCCTATCCTCACCACCCATACAGCAGCAAGTATCCTTCCGAACATATGCAGACAGAAAGAGGTTTGGCGCTTATCTCAAGTGACGTGCAGCACCCTTCGGAAACGCTGAGGAGGCATATGGTGGACTGAATACAGTTAACGGCAAATTGAACAACGCCAACGGAACCGAACCGAAGACGATCGGAAACGCGGCCAGCCTTGCCAGCTAACCAACTGGTCAGTCGGTTCCTAGCATCAGGACCAGCAGCATAAAGAGGAAACCAGGCAATGCTAAGGTTGCAGGACGTACCAGCAGCACTGGCGGCCCGTTCGACATCAAGTTAAACGACTAGCCAGACGACCACTTCCTTCAGCCACGCTGCTGCGAATAATATTGATGTCTGAAAGTCTCCCTCAGGGCTTGACGCTTATCTTCTAACAGCACCAACGCAGGATGACAGCGAACGCAATGTAACAAGTATACAGCCGCCCACCAACAAGAGAACCATCAGCGGCAGCTGTTTGCTGGTGAACGGTATGGCATGGTCGAACATGCAACAGCCACGCAGTGGCAATGGCCAAAGCAGCATATGGAGATGTCCTCACCGACAACATGGGCAGCATTAACGGCACGGCGATGTGTGATGTATCACATTATATATATATATATATATATGTATATTACATGGGCATATACAATACAACATACAGAAACACGGACTTGTTTCGCTGGTGTTAGCCAGGCCGATCCTATTTATCTGGGTTATGTTAACGTGCCGATATGCCCATTTCGACCACCATGGTCAATCTACCATGTGTAAGTGTGGTCCTACATCGTGCATTCTACATACCAAGGCCTAATTGAGAACTATAGTCAAGTTAAGTGTGATAAGGTCTATCTATAAGGACGTTTGGATTGCTGATTTCGGCTTGTATTACAATGCTTTTATGCTACAATGCTTTTTTTTTTATGCTATATGATATCTATTATTGTTACCAGGGTGACATTACGAAACTAATTAAATATTAGAAGCCTTTAGCGATAGTGCAAAACATTACCCTCCAGTACTAACTGTATTGAATTTACATGTCTGTTGTGTTTTACTATATAATACCTGAGCGTCGGATGGCAATGACGTTGAAGAATGGATTCTTGCGAAACAACATTTCTAAACGTATGGGCATTTTGAACAGCTACTTGTCCCGCTTGCTATGAACTTAGCCGCTTACTCTACATAGGCATTGACGTCACAAGGCAGATCATTTGCATTTGATTGTCTATCGTGACGAATTCCCTGGGGAACATTTGTTCCGTGTTTGGGCTGTCTCGAGTTGGGCCTAACAGCTCTCCAAAAGCCATGACCGTAGCACCCTAAGCAGCGTTGGTTTTGCAAGGCAAGTTTTGGTCTGCTTTCCCGTCGGAGGAAGGGACAGTTTATAAAATACATATGCGCCACTGGCAAGGCTGGCCTCCTCCTTTTAGTGGTCTCCGCAGCACAAACCTATGGGCCGTATGCAACGGACACACAGTAGACAGCTTTAGAGAAGGACTAACTGCAAGAAAGAGGAAGAGGAGGTAGGTGGAAAGTGCCGGCAGGAACATAGATTCAGAAATGATATAACCGTGCCCCTGACAAGGATGGGTAAGCCGGTAGGCAGCGGCGGCGACTGACCGACCGACCGACCGACCCGAGCGGCGTTCGCCCGGTCTGGTCCCGTCCGTTAGTAAATATCGTATTAACACTAATAGCACTCCATTTTTGTATCCTGCTACAGCAGAATATAAAAGAAAAACAAATCCGCGCCGATGCAAAATTCCATTAGGACTGGTCGCTGTTATCGTTGCCCCGACCGCCGCCTTTATCATGGCGAGTGGTAATGCTTCTTGTTCATATCCGGAGTCCTGGCTGGACAGAGGGAAAGGAAAATGGAAACAAAGAAAAAAATCCAGGCATGCCTAGACAATCTATCCAACGAGACACCTATGTACGCCAAGAGACCTCGCATGCATTTAAGTAGTGGAAAAAAGTTAGGGGCACTCAGTAACTAGAGGATCTAACTGGAGAAACGTGCCGCAAATTCCATCTATTAGGTTCTGTACTCGAATAGTTGATGATTACTGATTAGCCTTTAATTTAAACAAAAGACGTAATGCTGTGACGGTGCGTTAGTCGCCACTGGTTTCCACGTCGGCTTTACATGATCTTTTAAAACGAGCCTAAAAGGGCGCTACATGACAGTTGCATTAGCTGGATTTCTTGGTTTAATGGGTCATGGGAACGAATCCATATAGTGCTGTTTTGAGCCAGCAAATTCAGCATCATAAGTAAGCCTCACATATGTCCTTCGAACAATTTATTAACTATGTTGCGCAAAGAAGTACTAACCAGCGATGCAATGGATCTTCACAAAGGCGAGCGCTCTTTTTGATCATGGTTCCATGTTCCTGAAATAAGCAAAAACATCGAATGTAAGCCTAAGTCTTTTTTGTTCTACTATAACTTCTCATTGCGAACCCCTCAGTCATAAACGTTTTGCCTATAGGCGGTTTGCTCGCCTCTCGTACAATGCGAAGTATTTGGTGTTGAAAATTCAATCAGTAGAAAAAGTGTTCTAAAGCTAGCAAAAGTAGCAGTTGAATAGTATTCTGTATGACACGTCTTTGTACTTAGTGAGTTACAACAATAGCGGTTTTCATATATTTTGAGAGGTACGCCACATCTGATCGCACTCGTTCTCCTCTCTTTTATCGAATAGATGCTGGTCGATACTATAATGCATGTAAAATTATCTTTTGACAATCTATATACAACAACAAAACGTCGTATACGGGGAAGCATGGCAGGCCGACGTGCCAACTAGGTTTCAACTCCTGCACAGCGTGTTCTACAGTATCCTTTTTGCGAGAAAGACTACTAAGAGCGCATATAACAGTGCCAGTCCGTTCGTTCAAGGTTGGTGACGTTTTTGACGCCGTTAAGTTCGTACCACGCGATGCCTGGCCTACTGCAACCTAGTCATTTAGATGCTAATGGCCAGTGACGACGTCTGAAAGGCTTAGATCTATCTACCATTTGATGCATTTCCAATAACTGAAACAGCGACTGTTATAGCGCGAGCCCATGAAATACACCGATGTATACTATATACTCAGAATACCACCCGTTTGCTACCGCTGAGTCGCTGCTTCTTAGAGTCACTGAAGCTGACTCTCCAGATTTAGGTGGTGAGTTGACTTTGCTCAGCCTTTTCGGTTCGTTAGTATTATAGAAACTATAACATACGAGTTAAATTTCATAGGTGCCTGTACTCATCTTCAGTTCACTTGGACTGATATTGTGGTCTCAATAACCCATTTTTCCTTGCAGCAGGATGGTAAGATGGTTCACAACGAAAAACGTTTTATTCGATATCAACATAAATAATGCCAGGGCAGAAAGTCATGAACGACGAAAACGGACGAAAGATATTGCATTGTTATAAGTACGAGTTAGTTTACTTCTACGAAATCACATAGCCAGCATAACTATCAGACGGCTAGGAGGCGAAACGAAAAAAATGAGCCCTGAACGACGCAGTTACAGCAGGCGCAGCGTGCGGAAGACATTATGTGTGTGTGTGTGTGTGTGCGTGTTCTTGACCCACGAAACGATAATAAGAGAGAGAGAGAGAGAGAGAGAGAGAGAGGGAGAGGAGAGAGTTGTGTGCACGAATATGCATGTGTGTGTGAGAAGAGGCGGGGGTGTGCGCATTCCAATATGAGGGTAGTCTGTTGAATACATTAGTTAGTCAAGTACGATGACTGCTTGCTGTGGATGGATGGCAGCTTGAGATGGAAAGAAGGAAAATGAACGAGAAAGAAAAAAGGGACAGACGTGGACAGAAAGGGACTTTCCCAGCGTGACGGGCGTCGAGCAGCTCTAGGGGGTTCTAGTTAGCTAGCTGGTTGCACTTCTAGTGCTCCATGGTGCCTTAACGGACGAGGGCGAGTGGATTGTGAGATGCGGGCACGCAAAAGTCTGCACAAACAACAAAAGCCATCGGATCCAGCCGTGTCATCACCGTCAGCGAGTTACCGAACGAAACAATGGCCCGATACGAGCAACAGCAGAACAGTGCGCCAGGTTGGCTAGCCAGCAGCTCTTGGTGGTTGTGGTTATACTCATTACCACGCCCAAGGGGCGTTGGGGCTGTGCATCGCTTTCTACCGATTTCTTCAATATCCTAACGATAAACAGAAGGAAGGGGCAGAGTAAAAGGAACAGGAGGGCAATGTGTGGGTGGGTCCAAGCCTCGTGGCTGTTTGCAGAGTTATGTACTTTTTTAGCCAGAGTACAATGTAAAGGAGACCTTGTCACTGTTTTCCTTTTCTCTGTTCTATGCGAAGTTCTTGCGCCAAAACGATGAAATGTGCTACTCTTTAGTAAAAATAGAGTTCACTTGTACATAGATCAAATATTGTATCAGCCTAGAACAACCACGAACATCTTTGTGTTGAAAGACAAGGACGATTCGCAAAATCCAAATTCGCAAAAAAAATTGCAGTGCTGGGAGCTTGGTAGATGAATCCAGCGTTAAGCGGTGACGGCGGATGGCTAGAAGTGTTCGTAGAGATTATGATACCCAGTCGAACGCGCAGGTGTGGGAGCTCACGCATACGTGAGCAACAACAAGAACATACGTGGAACGAGCGTTGAAGTGCCTTTGGATACATATGCGATGCTGCCGTTGTGCATATACGATGATATAAAGGATTGTCGTGTAACACGGTGACAGCGTAGGGGAGCATCATGTATCACAGTAAAGAAATACTATCGACAGCACGAAACGCACAAAAGCAGACATTTCAGCGCGCCTATGGTGATCTGAGGCACAGTCCCGTGTGACGTTCAGTTCAGTAAGGCCTGAAAAAATGTGAAAACTCCTGGCGCCTTTTTCTTTATGCTGCAGGTCGCGGCAAGGCTTTCGCGTATGCCCGCTATCCTTCCATTCGTTTTCGATTTGATCTTCATGAACCCATTCTAAATCTTTCTAAACCCATTCTAAAATGTTTTCATCTACGCTCAATTTCTTCTGGGAGTGAAAACTTTGATAGGAGATAATCTTTCACTAAAATCTGGGTCAAGGATAACCGGAAGTGCTCGTAGGATTGTTAAATAGCTTTTCTTGTTCTATACTCACGAAAGGTTTGAGCTCTGAAGTAATGATAAACATATTTTTTTTTAGCGTTGATAACCTAAGAATGCACGTTCAGTAATATAGCTTTAATGAAAATATATGAAATATACTGATAATACGCTTCGATTAAAAGCAACGTTCAATAGCTGCTAAAAATATAGGTGCCAGGTTTTTGTCCTTAGGATAATCATTTGTTTTTGCTGCACAGTACAGACAGTATTTTTACAAAAGCTTACGAGTTACAATGTTCTTCATGCCTTAATGAGGTAAACTGGATAACTGACTTGACCTTGCCCATCTCTGCCCAGATCTTTCCCAGGCCTTCATTCAAGTAGCTAAATTAATTTCTTCGTGCTTTTTTCTTTAAACGCTCCGCTCTATTCTACAGGCCTTAGTCCGGAGTAGGTAGCTGAATTATGAGTACTGTGTCTTGTTCACTTCACCCCTTTACCTTTCCGCTGTTCTTACCATATTCCTATTATATTACCGCAAACTAATGTGAACGCTTTTTCCTCCTTCAGAAAATGGACACTCTTTAGATCGATCATAGACAACTACAGCGGGAACCGCTGAGATGCCACTAATTTCAGCTTTCATGCTATCCGCAACGAATTATAGTGCAGCGCGACATGGATGGTTGGGCTGCGCTACTGCGCCTTTGTCGATCTGGCCGCAGCCATCGCAGAATCCTTTTTTGTTCGTGCTTTTAGCTTAGATTTGGTTAGGGAATGGGGTTTGGGTAGTTGTCGGCGGAATGAAGTGAGCGAAAAACGTCTCCAGCAAACGAGACCAAACAGAGAGTCAGTGAGGGGACGGTAAAATGCTGCAAGAGATTGGATGGGATGCTTTAGGGCAGGGACTGGGGAATCCGCTCGAGAAGCCGAGCGACGCAAAGAAGGACTGTCGGGAGATCGTAATCAGCTATTGCCGTTGTCCGCGAATGGCGATTGTGGCGACTTTGCGGGCCGCAATGTCAACGAACGAACGAACGAGCGTCGAAAAGAGCGAACCAATGTACGAATGGCCGGCGGGCTGACTTGCTGGTGGCGACAACAGCGGCAAACGATGGTAGTGGTAGCCGTTAGAAACAGCAACGATGACGACAACGACAACGACGACGACGACGACGAAGTAGATGGCGCAGCAGCCAAGTAGAGGCTGAAACAAACGAAAAAAGGCAGGCAGCTACACTTTTGTCGCTGTGGCAGCAGTAATGCAGCCCATTGGCAAGATTTACATTTAGAACGTCTAAACCCGAATCCGTTCTTTGGGATGGCCAATGTTTCTCTGTTTACCCACGCTACCATGATGACGCTGAAACGCCTAGGCAACTAACAGAATAGCACCCACAGTCCAACAACACACTACAAGCGGCTTGCGGAGCCAAAAACATTATCATGACAAAACACAACAATATAATCACGATAGCAATAACAGTGATAGTACCGGCGGCGAAGTACACCCGTACAACTATTGGGTTTACGAGATCATGTCGCTAGCTTACAATAAAATACGGATGACGTTTTGTACTGGATAACACAATCGGTGAAAGAAAAGGTTACGAGGTATGCCTATGGAGTAGTATTCAGGGCAGCACAAAGGAGAAGCTAGCAATTAACTAAAGTGCCACACAACAGCACATGTATCTTGAGGTGAAGAGTGATTCTCGCCAGTTACCACTGTAAATTCTTGTCATAGAAAGCGCAACCGCGAAGGCTGTGGTGCGGACTCTGTATGTCTGTACGACTAGACTTCATTGAGAGCTAACGTTTTCTTTCCTGCTAAAATATCTCAGCTTGACAAGAAAACGCACATATGGAACGGATTCACGCAAGCCTAAAGCTGTACAGGATACACCAGCAGATGGGCCTGTAGATCGGCTTTACTTCCTACTGGCAACGCTGGTGTCTCGGCAGACAACTCATATACCCAACGAAAAGCTAAAATGGCTATCTCTGTTTTTCCTGCACTTTCTGAAGTAAGTCAACGAAACACAAAAGCTATATGAAACGCAAGAGATGAGGCTGAAATGAAAGAAAGAGGAGGAGTGTAACCGAACATTTGAGCAGAAAGAACCTACTCAACCTTTACCAAACTGTCTGTCCTAGGACACTATGTCCGTTGCAGCTAGAGGCGGCTCTTGTCCCGATGGAGGAAGAAGAAGTTGTTTCTCAGACTACTGTTGTTGCTACTACGTTGTCTTCCCTGAGGCTCTTTCGATTGCATGCTCTTCAGACAGTCTCTTCGCTGTCCTTCAGGTCTCGTCAC